GTAATGCAGTGTAAAGCATGTCCAATCGATTCAATTAATTTGGGGATTATTTTGTTGAGCTAACTTGACTGTACTTCTTTAACATCTACCTCAATCGCCACCCATTATACAACGCATAGTATACGTGTTGCATTTGTGTATTTGCTGCTCATGTTTACAAACAAATACTAAAAATTACTTGCTAAGTCAGCAGGCCAGCGCTCGTGGGTTTTCGTCGCGACCTGCAACGGCGACAAATGCTTTTGGTGAAATTGTTACCTCTCGCATTAGCAAATATAAGTTCACATCAGAGGCATGTGCAAAAGTAAAATGGGATGCCGGACATAACTATGGAGATGTCTTTCTTTTTGGCCTCACTACAAAATTCTTCATTGACATGCAATAAAAACTGAAATATTAATTTCAAATCGAGCAAAAAAATAATTTTCACCGGGGTTCTGCTAGTGTCGCCGCTTCCCCACACACGTCACACTTCCACACTTCTACACACATGTACGTCACCGCACACGTCTATCTCGCCATTTTTCTTGTTCCTCCTCCGTGATACCTCTCGGGCGCGTTGCTTATTGTACTTCTACCGATCACGATATTCTAGGTCTTTCTCTTCTATATCTTTCTGTATGTTGATACAGCACGGTCCTTTTTCGCCATCTGTTTTCTCCCATTCGTAAAACATGATCAAGCCTCAAATGCAGCATTTCTTGAATTCTTCGAACTACATCTTGAAGAGACAGTGTCATTTCTCTTATTGTTTGATTACCTACATGGTCTCGGAGGGAGATTATAAAATATCTGCAAAGATCCATTTTTAATATCTTCTGATTTTCTTTATTCCTTTACATTAGTTCCCAACTTTCACTTCCATATTTCCATAAAGAAATTCTTAAGGTCAAAGTAATTTTATAATCTCCTATGTTTAAACTTTTAGGTGCCCAGTAGTCCGTGTAAAGCTTTCGAGGTCAACGGATGGACAACTCTCTCAGCTGTGACGCTTTTTCTCTTTTTATCGTTCGATCGATGGAGTCCTGCCTGACAAGACGGCTGCAAGCCACAAAGATATGCGTCAGTATTATCTCTTTTTGCTAAGTCACTCTCGAGATTGTTTCTTCACAACAGAGATGATGTTCAAAACGTCATTACCTCTAAACAAAAGACGACTAAAGTATCGTATTCAATAAGTAGTCGATTTCGTTTTACTTGTTTGAAAGACTATAAAATAAAAAAAATCATGAAATTTATTTTATTTATTTATTTGTACTTTGTCAGGCAAAAAAGAAAACTATCGAAATCAATTTACGGGCAGTGGTTATATCCTGGAAAATCATCGTATATCGAACAATATCAAGTTGACGCCATGTTATCTTATTAAATATGTCCGATACATCTACCTCCACGTCTTATTTCGTTATTACAAGTGAAGTTTCCAAATACCTGTGTTTCCAATGCAACGAGATCCAGATCTTTTTTCTCCAACATTATCTACGGTTCACCTGCACATGTAATGACAACCTTTGTGAACATTACTCCCGATTAAAGTCCGAGTTTACCGATATGTCCATTTAGGCGTAATTGTCTCCGTTGCTCGACAGATGTTCCAAACGGAGTGCACTATCTCTTCAGAAAATACCGAATCACTGACAGTATCCGGCTATAACCGATCATTACGAAGCCGTTGCATTCAACTCTCCTCCGTCTCTGCGATTACCTCCCAGGCGCGCGTGGGCCGAGTTACCTGGAATTTACGAGGCGCCTTATCGCCCGCGTTCCGTCGAGGTGAGAGCTCGGAGGCGGCGGAGGAAACGGCGGTGGCGAGGGCGGTTTTGGGTGTGGTGGTGACGGTGGAAGAGGAGGAGAAGGAACAGAAGTGGAAATGGAGGTTTGACACATCGGAGCGATGACAGTTTTAGTGATGGTGGTGGTGATCGCCACAATAGTGTTGGTGGAGGCAATGGAAGTGGAGGTGTCGATGGAGGTGGAGGTTACGGTGATGATGTTTGAGGTAGTGTTAGTAGAGACTATGAAGGTGGAGGAGTCGGTGGTGATGGTGAAAACGGAGACGGTGAAAGCATGGCGTTGGTGAATGTTGTGGCGGTGATGATGATGGTTGATGTCGTGGCTTTGCGTGGGAAGCGGTGTTAATGACGATGGTAGTGGTGGGCGTAGTGGTGGTGTCGGCTGAGCAAGCGGTTGTGGTAGAGGCGAAGGTGACGGGTGCAGCGGCATTGCCGGCGCTGGTGGTGGGGGTGATGGTGGTGATGGAGGCGATGATGTTGGCCGTGGCGGTGATAACCCTTGCGGTGGTCGGCGGGCGGCGTGTGGCGGCAACAGCCTACAGATCTCGCGCCCGCAGCGATCATCTTCCGATTCCTGGCGATATAGCGGCTGCTGCGTGGTATTTCACTCTCTCCTTAGCGCTTTGATGACCCGCAGTGGGGAGTCTTCTCCCTCCAGCACCCCCCCTTCCACCCGCGTACCAGGGCGTACGCCCGCCGCCCGCATCTCACTTCACGTCACAAGGCGAGAAACACAGTGGGCAGGAATACTGTGTAATGTTCAGCTACTTAGTCAGTCCTGGGACTTGGCTCTATATGTATATTCCCCGACACTCCGGGTTTCTTTTTTGATAAAATTTAATTTCAAAGGCTGAAGGTATTAAACGGAGCACCTTCAATTTCCTTGTGGTAGTGATAGATGACTTTTTATGAAGCGCCATTTGTGAAGAAACAATTTGTAAAGTGAATGAAATAAAATAAGTGTAAAATAGATTACATGTTTGTGCCTTGAACTGTAGAGTATTTTAAAAATAGATAATGTTAATAAAGTTATACTGATCCTAATTATTTTTAATTCTGCAATAAAACGTTATGTTTCGCACTCACAAAAAAATTACTTGTCACGTTCAAGAATAAATTAAAATGTATTACTACAACTGAAGGATGTTTCGCACTTAGTGGCGCCAAAAAGTTATCTGAACATTGAGTACTTAAAATTTAATTCAATGTGCCATATTTGTCACTGGATAAGATAAATCTCTATTTGCATTGCTATTAGTTAATGCATATTTTTATTTTTAGATTAATTTTCTTGGACTGCATGGACTGCTGTGTAATGTTTCACGAAAATGAATACGTTAATCATGATAATCACAATAATTCATTTAGGATCTTAAAATAGTTAAATTGAACAGGAACTGTTCTGATTCCTTCGCAACATCTCACATCTGAAATAATTTACGTTTTAATGTACCTTTTGTGAAATTTCTAGAATAGATGTTTCTGGCATACAATATTAGGTATATCACATTATTTTTCACAATGCTGGTACTTATCAAATATTTTAAACAAATTCCGAGATAGTTTGTTTCTTTCGTGTAAGTTATATCATAATGACCGCGGACAATCACGTCATTTTTGAGTTACCGTAAGTGAAATAATGTGTTGAAAATTAATATAATATTACTAGTAAGTATACTGAAGATAACTGAGAATAATACTAACTAATAATAATATGCGTTTATTAATATGGCGAGGCTTCGGCCATCAGGCCCACTCTTCCGCCTAACCACATGTCACATATATACAGAGTAATGTAGTAAAAGTAATGTAGTAGTCGCAATATAAATCAGAAATAAATGATTCATCCCAGGATAAAATGTATTTTTCTTCCAAACGACATATTTTAAGATGTGTCAGCCTCCTTGTGTTCCAATTTCTAAAACTACGTTCGTTTGGTGTCGGCCTGACCACTGTGCTCCGCGGCGATCTTCAAGTTGAAAAATTAGAGGCGGAACCTGTTTTAATGGATGCCCGCGAGCTAGGAAACGCGGGCAGCAGCGGCGGCTGCCCCGCAGGCGACAAGGGGCGG